ATAATGATGTGAATCGGCATCTTTTTAGGGGACCTTCACCTTTGAGGAGCGGGAGAGAAACAGTCCCGGAGGGGGACTCCATCTGGGCAGTAGATGGCTTCCTGGCAACTACTGAAGATTGAATAATGGAGGTTAGGAAGGCACCGCGGGCCCTTATGACTGCCTCCTCTGAGCCATCGAGTCATTCATTCATTCAGTCATTCCTGTGTGTCATATGCTCCACTAGGCTTTGGGACTACACCGATGAGTTGTCCCCAACTGAACTTTGGGGGAGTTAAAAGGTCAGCAAAGCAGCCCACAACAGGGTAGCTAAATTTAGAGCTGACTGGTATACCTGTGAAGGTCAGGATGTGGGAGAATGAGAAGTCCTGAGTCATATTAATATTTGGATATTTTGAAATCAGGAAGATCAGATGGATGTTAAGGTACACTTACAGTTAGAATCTGGAATCAGGGAAATGCAGTTTAGAGATGTGGTTGGCTAGTAGAGATTATCTTTTAGTTTTTTAAAAAAGCTTATTTTATTTATTTCCAGAGAGAGAGAGAGACAGAAGGAGGGGGGCAGAGAGAGAATCCCAAGCAGGCTCCATGTTGTTAGCTCAGATCCTGTCTTGGGGCTCAGTCATGTGAGATCATGACCTGAGCTCAGATCCAGGGTCTGGTGCTTAACTGACTGAGCTACCCAGGCATCCTTAATTTTAACTTTAATGCCTTTAGGTGGGGATTGCTTCCCCAAGTCCATGGCTCTTACCATTCCCCAGTGGCCCCACCTGAATTACGGTCCCACCTGAATCATGGCCCCGCCTGAATTATATCTGTGCCTTATCAGCTCTCTGCCCAGCCCCTGTGGCTAACAGTTTTCCACCCTAACCGTAGATGTCTTGAAGCTTTAAGAATCTGTTTATTCAAGTATTAACGAACCAAAAACAGATTTGCAGAATGTGGTAAGGTTTTCAATTCTGAACTTTTCTCTGATTCTTACTGTAATGGAATAATGGTGATCTTGACTGGTGATCTTTATTTAAAAAATTTTTTTAATGTTTATTTATTTTTTTTTGACAGAGAGAAAGAGAATGAACATGAGTAGGGGAGGGGCAGAGAGGGAGACAGAATCCCAAGCAGGCTCCACACTGTCAGCACAGAGCCCCACATGGGGCTCAAACTCACGAACCTCAAGATCAGGACCTGAGCTGATGTCAGATGCTTAACTGACTGAGCTGCCCAGGCTCCCTTTGGTGATCTTTATTGACAATGATGATGTTTGGTGACAAATAACTGCAAATAAGCTGACATTCATTTCCATTCATCTCACATATGTTTGTTGAGAGCTGCTGTGTATCAGCACTTTTTTTAAGTTTATTTATTTATTTTGAGAGAGAAAGAGAGCATGCGTGGGGGGAGGGGCAGACAAAGAGGGAGAGAGAATCCTAGAATCTGTGCTGACAGTGCAGAGTCTGATCTCATGAATCGAAAGATCACAACCTGAGCCGAAATCAAGAGACGGTTACTTAACCGACTGAGCCACCCAGTAACCACAGTATTTTTTTTTTAAGTAGGCTCCACATCCAACATGGGGCTTGAACTCATGACCCTGAGATTAAGAGTTGGATGCTCTACCAACTGAGCCCACCAGGTACCCTGTTAGCACTTTTGTAGGTCTAGGGAATACAGCAGTGAAGAAGACAGAAAAAAATGGAGCTTGAATTTCAGTGTGGGTGGAGGCAGACAGACAGTAGAGACGATACATGAATAAAATGCATAGTAGATGAGATTATGGTAAGTACAAAGGAGACAAAGTGGGAAAGAGTAAGAAGTGTTGGAGGAGTAGTTAGATAGGGTGGCCACTGTAGGCCTCACTAAGAAAATGAGTATCTAGTCTAGACTGAATTAAGTGAGAGAACTGGCCACCTGGGGCAAAAACATTCTAAGCAGAGAAAGGCAAGTTCAAAGGCCCTGAGGTAGAGCTGGCCTAGTGTGTTGGAGGAGGTATCAACACATCATGTACTGCTCTAAGTTCTTTCACTCCACTGAGGGGGCTACGATTATTGTTCCCATTGACAGAGGGGCAAACTGTGGCCAAAGGACCTAAGAAATTTGCCCGTTTAAATAAAAGGCAGAGCCAAGCTTCTAACACAGGCAGTGGAACTCCAGAGCTTGTGCTCTTAAACACTAAGCTATGTTAGAGAAGTGATTTCATTACCCCGAGTAGACCCAGGTATTGAAGATTTACACCTCCAGCTCCAAGCAGCCTTCCCAGCCCTGGAGGAAAACCCTGGGTGTGGCGGCAGGGGAGGGAGTGACTCAGGCCTTGGCTGGCTTCCTGCTGAGTCACTGCTGATGGGCTGTGAAGGGAGGCGGGCACTCAGGCCTCACCTCCTCACACTGGCAGGTTCCTGCCCTTGGGGAAAGATGGCTGGGCACAGGCCCTAACCACACCATCGGTGAATGAATTCGTCTGACTTTCCCAATAACTTTGTTGTGAAATGGTGGGTGGGCTCCATTTCCTGGTGTGGCCCCACAGCCAGCCAGGGGAAACAGCCCTGGAGGCTGACTTTCTGCCCGGCTTAGCCCAGACTTCTCCCAAATGTCCTGTATGGATACATTCTGTCCTTTTCAGGCCGCCTGTCTTTCATCTCGGGTTGAACCATCCAAGAAGGAGCTGGCTGTGTGTTTGGCATGCAGCCAGAAAGGGGGAAGGGGTGCACGGGGCAGCCACACACAGCGCCCTGGGCCTCATGAGGCTCACTCCCTTGACACATTGTCACAGATGCAGCAGGGAGGGAAAGGGTAAGTAATAAGTACATCAAGTTGGTTAAGATTAAAAAGAAACTTTTTTTAATGTTTATTTTTGAGAGAGAGAAAGAGCGCACGCAGGGGAGGGGCAGAGAGAGAGGGGGAGGGATACAGAATCCGAAGCAGGCTCCAGGCTCTGAGCTGTCAGCACAGAACCCGATGCAGGACTTGAACTCATGAACTGCGAGATCATGACCTGAGCCAAAGTCAGACGCTTGACGGACTTAACCACCCAGGAGCCCCAAGTTGGTTAAGATTTTAAAACAGGGATTCATGAATAACAATAGCTAGCATGTCTTGAGCTCTTACGATGTGCCAGACGGTATTCTAAACACTTACCACATTTTATCTCATCTCATCTCCCAAACACTTGCAACACCTGATAGGAGAAGTACTTACCATTTTATAGATGTGAAAATGGAGGCTCAGAGACGGTCGCAGTTAGGAAAGGGCTGAAAGGACAATGGGCACAAAATTCTGGAGTCAGGAAGGGGCAAGGTGGATTTGGGGAGCCTTGAGAGGCTGGAGCAGAGTCTGGAGGAGCAACACCCGGACAAAGGAAGCTCTCAGATGAGACAGGGTGCTGGGACCAGACTCAGAAATTGAACTTGGGTTCATGGTGGTTGAAAACCACTAAGGACTTAGCCTGTCTTCTCCCCTTGGTGCCCCAAGGCTATAGCTTTGTTGCTTTGGTTCAGGGTCACCTTGGCACATGCATTGTGGGGATGGAAGAGAGCCAGGCGGAAGAACTCCTGTGTGAGGTGAGGGGACTCTCACTTGCTCCGAGCCCACCAAGAATCCTCTGCATTGGCTGCCCTCTAACTGCAGAATGTCCATAGGGAAAGAGTTGTACGTTCCAGGAAGCGACCCGACAGGGGCTGCACGCAGCCGGCTGGTCCTCTCTGTTGGGGCCACTCCCACCTCTCCTGATTGAACTCTTCCTGGCTTTCACCTCTTTGATCCCCAAGTGTAACGTTCACATTAGCCGTTTCTGTTCAGCTGGCATTTCCACGTCGTCTGCAAAATCTCTCCTCCCTGTTCTCGCTCTGTGATCCAGTGAGTTGACCTCCTAACACCTTCGTGTGCTAGGCACCATTGGTTACCCACCCAATCTAGCCTCCCTCTTCTCCGGCTTAAGAAGCCCTGATTTGGGGGAGCTTGGGTGGCTCAGTCGGTTAAGCGTCTGACTTCAGCTCAGGTCGTGATCTCACGGTTTGTGAGTTTGAGCCCCACGTCGGGCTCTGTGCTGACAGCTTGGAACCTAGAGCCTGCCTTCAGATTCTGTGTCTCCCTCTCTCTCTGCCCCTTCCCCCCTCTTAAAAATAAATAAACCTCAAAATAAAAAGAAACCCCGATTTTGTTCTGGGTGATGTCACCACATGGCCAGCCCCAGGCAATGGGTCCTGATATGTCTAAGCTAACAACAACCCTGTTTCCCTGCTTCCCAGCCTCCTTTGCAGCTAGGGGTATGCATGTGACCCAGTTTTTGCCAATAAGACCTGAGGGGAAGTCTGCTCTAGGGCTTCTGAGAAAGCTTTTGATTTTTGACCAAAGGGAACAGTTCCCGTTTCCTCCCCCCGAAAACCCCTTCCCTGCCCCCCAGTTAACCACAGTCATGCCAGCTAAAGCTTGCTGCTGCTGGAAGGACGTCAATAGACGGTTGTCAGCAGCCATCATTTGAAGAAAGCCTGCCTTCTGAGGAGAGAATATAATCACACACAGAGAGAAAAGCAGTAGGGCAGGGAGATGGAGAAAAGTCGAGGCCTTATTTGAATGTTTAGATTCCTACCCAAAACTGGCACCATTCCTGAATTCCAGGTTATGTGAACAATAATACACACTTTTCTTTTTTCCTTATGCTTCCTTGATTTTTTATTTAAGTAGGCTTCACACCCGGCCTGGAGCCCAATGCAGGGATTGAACCCATAGATCGAGACCTGAGCTGAGATCACAAGTCGGATGCTTAACAGACTCAGCCACCCAGACCCCCTGCCTTATGCCTGTTTTTGAGATGGGCTTCTATCACCTGTACGCAAAGGCCAAGGTCTCCTATCTCAACAGTGAACGTCTGGCAAGACTCCCAGTCTTCCTCTGCCTGTAACACCTGTGACCTTGACCAACTATTATGACATGAATGAGGGTTCCAGGCATGTCATCCACCTGCCTACCCTCAACCTCAGCACCCCACCCATAACCCCACCCTCACCTCTACTCCCCACCTCCGCCTTTCCCCATCTCTACCCTCTTGGTCATAAACTGGCCCAAGGGGATGAAGAATGAGGAAACCCAGGGTGTCACCACATACCAAGGCCGCCTTAGCTCCACAATGTCCGCAGAATGCCCTCGCAACACCCCTGTTTGAGAAACACCGGGATTAAGAAATGGGAGTCAAAGAGAGGCAAGCTGGGTGAGCAGGGGTCGGGTGGCATGGAGTCTGTCTGATTCCGGAGGGACCTCAGGCACCCATCTCACATTTGTTCATTCATACAACACATGCTTTTTGCCTTTCTTTGTCTTATTATTGGGATATAATTGACATACATGTTGATTTCAGGGCACAACGTAATGATATGATATTTGTACATATTGTGCAATGATCGCCGCAAGAAGTTCCATTAACACCCATTATCATGTGTAGTTATAAATCTTTTTTTCTTATGATGAAACCTGTTAAGATCTTCTCTCTTAGCAACTGCAAATATACAGCATGGTATTGTTAACGGTAGTCACCACGCTTGCATTACATCCAGTGACTCATTTATTCCATAACTGGAAGTTTGTACCTTTTGACCCCCTTCACCCATTTTGCCCACCCTGCATACCTCCCGCCCTCTAGTAACTGCCGAGATATTCTCTATATAACATGTTTATTGAGCACTTACTTTGTGCCAGATTCTAAAATGGTCATGAAAGATAAAAGAAAGAAGCTGACCAGTGAGTGTCCTTCTCCTCCCAGGCTTCTCAAAGAGCAAATGACCTTAAATAAAACAGATGAAGTCCAGATTGGCAATGAGAGAGCCTCACTATTGGGTGGGATTTGGTACATTAAAATGAGGTGTCACATTGGGATTTGTTTTTATTTATTTATTTAAATGTTTATTCATTTTTGAGAGAGAGAGAGAGAGACAGCAAGCAAGGGAGGGGCAGAGAGAGAGGGAGATATAGAATCTGAAACAGGCTCCAGGCTCTGAGCTGTCAGCACAGAGCCCGACGTGGGGCTCGAACCCATGAACCACGAGATCTTGACCTGAGCTGAGTCAGATGCTTGAATGACTGAGCCACCCTGGCACCTCTCACATTGGGATTTAGAATCCCTTTTCCTAGAAAACTTCAGGAATGAATACCTAAACCACTGACTCATCTTTTCTTTCTTTTTTTTTTTATTATGTTTATTTTTATTTTTGAGAGAGAGAAACAGAGCGCAAGTGGGGGAAGGGCAGAGAGAGAGGGGGACACAGAATCTGAAGCAGCTCCAGGCTCTGAGCTGGCTGTCAGCACAGAGCCTGATGCCGGGCTCAAACCCACGAACTGTGAAATCATGACCTGAGCCGAAGTCAGATGCTTAACCAACTGAGCCACCCAGGTGCCCCAAGATTTTGCCATTTTCAACAGCTTGTGTCAAGGATTGCTCTGGGCCCATTAACAAAGAAGGTTTTATGCACTAAGCACGGAGGTGGCTTGCAAAGCACACTCTTCCTCACATTCCACCCCTAGAGCTTGATCACACGGCCACATCTAACTGCAAAGGAGGCTGGGAAATGTCCTCTCACCTTGTCTCCAGGAAGAAGAGGAGTCGAGTTTAGTAGTGAGGTACCAATTTCTGCTCCCAGCTTTATAGGGAATCAAAGCACAATGATGGGCATGCTATACGTTAATTCTTTCCAACTTCTCAGCAGCCCTACAAGTGGGCACTATTTATTTTATAGGCCAAGAAATGAGGCTCAAAGATGTGAAACAACGTGTCCAAGGGCCTCATTGCTCTGTAGTCATAGGATGTCATCTACCTATGCTCTTCCCATCACACTCACTTACCTCTTTGAATTATACAAAAAGGTAAGAGGAGAGAGAGACATCCTAGTCCTTTTCATATGAAGCTGATTCTCTTATAGGGTATCCTTTGTTTTTTTCCAAGGCTGGAGATTTCACCCATAGTCTGTTCCCTCTTTCCAGTGGATTAGAGGGGAACAGGCTGCATATAGTATTTGCTAACCACCAGCACCCTGGGTTTCTTTTGGCTGGGTCTGGCTACAATGTACTCTTCTGGGTACATGACATTTGGGAGCAGTCATTTTGACAATGAAGTTATATCTATAGGTAAACATGTAGATGGGTTCATGTTTGTGGTGGTGTCTCTGGTATCTTTGTTCCTTGCAACCTTTCCTTCAGAGCGTCCCCCTCAGGATTTCTTGTAGGGCTGGCTTAGTGGTGACAAATTCTTTCAATTTCTGTTTATTTGGAAAGGTTTTTATCTCTCCTTCTATTTTGAATGACAGGCTTGCTGGATAGAGGATTCTTGGCTGCATATTTTTACTGTTCATCACCTTGAAGATCTCCTGCCATTCCTTTCTGGCCTGCCACGTTTCAGTCGATAGGTCTGTCACCACTCTGATGGGTTTCCCTTTGTATGTTAGGGCCCTTTTCTCCCTAGCTGCTTTCAAAATTTTCTCTTTGTCCTTGTATTTTGCCATTTTTACTGTGATATGTCGTGCAGAAGATCGATTCAAGTTACGTCTGAGGGGAGTCCTCTGAGCCTCTTGTATTTCCACATTTACTTCCTTCCCCAGGTCGGGGAAGTTCTCTGCTATAATTTGTTCCAGGACTCCTTCAGCACCTTTCCCTCTCTCTTCCTCTTCTGGGATTCCTATGATACGGATATTGTTGCATTTGACCGTATCGCTGAGCTCTCGAATTCTTCTTTCCTGTTCCTGAATCAGTTTGTCTCTTTTTTTGTCAGCTTCTTGTTTTTCTATCATGGTGTCTTCTAAATCACTTATTCTCCTTTCTGCCTCTTCATTCCGTGCATTGGAGGCCTCTAATTTATTATGTATCTCATTTATCGCATTTTTTAATTCTTCATGCCTATTTTTATTTTCCATTCTGTCTGTAGCCATAGTTTCTTTGATGTCCCCTATGTTTTTTTCAAGCCCAGCTATTAATTTTACCATTATTATTCTAAAATCTTGTTCAGTTATGCTGCTGATATCTGTTTTGAGCAGTTCATTAGCTGTCATTTCTTCTTGGAGTTTCTTTGGAGGAGAGCTCTTTCGTTTCTTCATTTTAGTTAGCTTTCCGGCTCTTGTTGGTTTTAAAGGCCTGTTAATGCTCTCTGTATCTATGAGCGCTGCTATATCCAAGAAGACTCTTTGCCTTTCCAGGGCCTATCCTTTCAGAAAGTGTTTTTGAAATGGTATCTCTTGGTCTCTCTTGTTGGGACCTTGGTTATTTTATTTTCCTATTCGTAGTGATATTTGGGATTCTCAACCTTGTGTACTCTGGCTTGTTTCTTGAGGTAGCCGTTAGAGGGCTTTCTCAGTGGATTCTGCATCCTTTTTCTCCCAATCTCTCAGGTTTCGTAAGGTTTCCAATGGCTTCAGATCTTTTCCGTGTGATATATGGGTGCGGGTGCAAGTACGGAGCTCCTTACTTCTCCGCCATCTTGCCCCCTCCCCCGTTAAAAATGTAGATGAGATGTTGATATTGATATTACAAAGAGGCTTAAAGTAAAAACAACCAGGGGCGCCTGAGTGGTTTAGTCAGCTGAGCATCCAGTTTTGGCTCAGGTCATGATCTCGCGGTTTGTGGGTTTGTGCTTCATGTTGGGCTCGCTGCTGTCAGCACAGAGTCTGCTTTGGATCCCCCTTTCTCTGCCCCAACCCTGCGTCCCCTCTCTCTCTCTCTCTCTCTCTCTCCCTCCCTCAGAAATAAACATAAAAAAAGGAAAAACAACCAAACACAATGTGTAGAATCAGATTGAATCCAAGTTTGAAAAATCAGCATTAAAAAATATTTGGGGGACTCCTGGCTGGGGTCCTGGTGGAGTGTGTGACTTGTTCCAGGATTGTGGGTTTGAAACCCATGTTGGGTGCAGAGATTATTTAAAAATAAAATCTTTAAAAAGTATGTGGTAAAAAGTGCATATATTTGAGTATGGATAGAGTATTTGGTTATATTAGGAAATCACTGTCCTTTTTTTTTTAATGTTTATTTTTGAGAGAGAGAGAATACTTGTGGGAAGGGCAGAAAGAGAAGGAAACAGAGGATCAGAAGCAGGAGCCCGATGGAGGAATCAAACTCACGAACTATGTGATCATTACCTGAGCTGAAGTCGTACACTTAACCAACTGAGCCACCCAGTTGCTCCAAGGAATTACTGTTAATTTTTTTGTGTATGATAATGGCATTGAGGCTACATAAGAAATTGTCTTTATGTTTTGGACATGTGTCCTAAAGTATGTAGGGATAAAATCTCTGATGTGTGTACTTTAAAACACATTAACAACAAAAACAGCAACAGAAAAATAGATGAAGCAAACTTGGCAAAATATTAAGAACTGTTAGATGTTGGTAATAGATACGAGAATGTTCGTTATATTATTTTTTTCGCCATGACATTCACTATTTGAAGTAAGACAGTGGGGATATTTGGATGAGGCTTAAAAATGAAGAGTGCTTATCACTAGTATTTTTCTCTTTTCTTTTATTTCTTATTGATGTGTAGTTGATATACAATGTTATATCAGTTTCAGGAGTACAACGTAGTGATTCCACAATTCTATTCATTACTCAGTGTTCACCATAGGTGTAGTCATTGTCCCTCACTCTACTAGTATTTTTGTTGTTATATTCATTGATTGATCAATTTCTTTTTTAAAAAGTTTCTTTATGTTTATTTATTTTTGAGACAGAAACAGAGCATGAGTGGGAGAGGGGCAGAGAGAGAGGGAGACACAGAATCTGAAGCAGGTTCCAGGCTCTGAGCTGTCAGCGCAGAGCCTGACGCAGGGCTCATACTCATGGACCATGAGATCATGACCTGAGCCAAAGTTGGATGCTTACCCGACTGAGCCACTCAGGCGCCCCTCGATTGAACAATTTCTTTATTCCTTTTCCCCCTTGACTGTGACTCCATGAAAACAGGGACCTTGCTAGTTTTGATTCGTTCTAGCACCTGTAAACCTGGCATCTTGCATAGTCTGTAGTACATAGCTGGGTTTTTAAATTTTTTTTTTTTTTCTGCTAAGCTCAATTTTCACTGATGTTCTTGGCCAGACTTTGTTTTGGTTCTCTCTGGTTCTGGTTGCATCTCTGGCTCTTCAGTTTCCCACATCCATAGCCCTCACTGGCCTTGTCTTGTTCTGTCCCTGGTACAGGCAGGAAGCAGATGGCTGCTGGTGGCCCACATGCCCATGAGTCTTAGCTTGAGCCTGCAGCCAACTCCCGCCCTCTTACTGCCATCACTCTTTTGACTCCTGGAGGACAGGACCTTGCCTTGCACTTCTTGGTAGTTGCTAAAGTGCTTGGCACTGCACATAACTGATGCTCTGAACCCATCTGTTGGTTGACCTTGTATTCCCCTTCCTGGCCCCACTTCACTCTTATTTTGATGAGAAATATTTTCATGTATTAATTTATTTTCTCATATCATTTTTAATTACACAAGTAACACATGGGCATTGTAGAACCATTAGAAAGTGGAAATAGGGGCGCCTGGGTGGCTCAGTTGCTTACACGTCTGGCTCTTGATTTTGGCTCAGGTCATGATCTCGCAGTTTGTGAGTTAGAGTCCTGCATTGGGCTGAGCTGACGGCGCAGAGCCTCCTTGGGATTTTCTGTCTCTGTCTCTGTCTCTCTGTCCCTCCCCTTTCCTGTCTCTCTTGAGCATGCCCCAACCCCCACACTCTCTCTTTCTCTCAAAATAAATGAATAAACATTAAAAAAAGAAAGTGGAGATAAACTGAAAGAAAAGAATCAGAATGATCTGAGATCTCATTTCCCATTGTTATCATTTTGGTGCGTGATTAACTTATCTCTGTGCATATATTAAAATGTTTTTCTCTCTATAAAATGAAGTTGGTTTTGTCTTGCTTTCTTCCTCCAACAAAATATTGAAAATATTCTTCCAAAGCAATAAGTATACATTTATGCCATCATTTTATTTTAATTACTTTATTAAAATTTTTTAAAAAGGTTTTATTTACTTATTTTGAGAGAGAGAGTGAATGCCCATGTGGGTGCACGAGCAGGGGAGGGGCAGAAGAAGAGAGAGAATCCCAAGCAGGCTACACACTCAGTGCAGAGTCTGACACAGGGCTCAATCTCAGGACTGCAAGATCATGACCTGAGCCTATATCAAGAGTTGGATGCTTAACCGACTGAGCCACCCACGTGCCCTATGCCATCATTTTTAATATCTATAAAGTATTGTCTTCTAAGGATATACTGTATTTAACTAGTTCCCAAATGGTGGGCATTTAGGTTGTTTCTAATTTGCTGCTGCACTGGACATCCTTGTATATATCTCTTTTTGTGCACATGTCATTCATCCTGCTGTTAATCAGCTCCACGATAACCCACAACCCTCGGACCAACTTCATCCTGCTGTTTATTCAGCAAATTTTTATTGAGTCCCTTCTGTGTGCCAGGCTCTTTTCTATTCAGTGGAGAAATAGCAACAGCGATTTTCTGGGGTAAAGATGCTTTTATTATTGTTGTTATTATTATTATTATCATTAAAGACTTGTAATACATATTGTCAAACTGAGAGACTAAGTAGGTTTCCATTCCCACCCGCGATGGGGGAGTGTCCTGCACCTCATCCCACCACTGTCCTTGAGAGTCACCTCTGCAGGGAGGTGTCTATCAGTGTGTCTGGCTTCTGTTCCCTGCTCTCTTCCTCCTTTGGGTTCTTTTCTTGGCCACATCCACTTCAGTATCAGCTCTGGCCTTTTGTGCTGCCCTTCTCTGGTTAAATGACTCTAGCTTTCTGCCTGCCTCTGAGCAGGCTTCTAATTTTGAGGTTCCTTGTAGATGTTCCCTCTACTTGTCATGACTCCATGCAGTGCTCCCCCCCAGGGTCAGCCACCACTCTTCGGCCCCCTAATAGAGGGTGCAGACCACCAGAGGATGAGACGCAGGCATCAGTCTGGGGCTCCACGGCTGAAGGCAGGTTTTATCCTTCCTTTGCTTCTTTGTCTAATTTTTTCCACACTCTCAGGAACCAATCAGGAGGCGCTCCCTTGATCTGTGTGCAGAAGACCTACTCATAGCTGGAACTGAATCTTAGCCCTTGGCCTAAATCCTTCCAGGGTGGCAGGGATGTCCCTTGGCTCTCAAGGATTAGTGCAAAGCGAGCAGCCAAGTGTTTGGATATGGCCCTGGAAACAGAGGGACCAGTGATCCTATGGAAAAGGCATTCTGCTCTGAGAGGCCAACCCCAGGGTCTTGTGACCGAAGTAATCAGCCTTTGGGGAATCGGCCTAGCTCACTGCCACCCTAGTCTGTGCATCTGCCTCTGCCCCCCAAGACAGCGGGCCAATCAGATTTCTTCTGGAAATCGGGATTTGAAAAGATCTAGGACTCAGTCTAGTGACTTGAAACAGAGGTGAGAAAAACCAAAACTAAGTGCACAGAGACACCGAGAAGGGTGGCTCGCAGGAGAGGAGCAAGAGGCAGATGTGCGGAGGCAAATGGCCTGGGCCGTTGGTGGGTTACCAGTTCTTGGGGCCCTGACTGTGTTCCTGCCTTGGGGTGTGTGAGACACCCCAGTGTTCTCATAATAAAGCCCCTCCTTTTGCTTAAACTATCCCTGTAACTTGCAAACCAGCAGACACAAATTGTACATAACATGGCGAATGGAACTAAATGTCAATCTTTTGGAGCCCATATCTCAGGGCTGTTGAGAGAACCAAATGTCTTAATGTTTGTAGGGCTGTAGGCTAGGGTCTGTTCTGCCTCATCAGAGCCTGTGCCTGACGGGTTCAAATATAGTGAGTATCATCACTGACTGTATAGGAAAATCAACTTTGTAAACTTTACAATGGCATAGCAGGGGCACCTGGGTGGCTCAGTCGGTTAAGCGTCCAACTTTGGCTCAGGTCATGATCTCACGGTTTGTGGGTTCAAGCCCCGTGTCAGGCTCTGCGCTGACCGCTTGCTCAGAGTCTGGGGCTTGCTTCAGATTTTGTGTCTCCCTCTCTCTCTGCCCCTCCCTCGTTCACACTCTGTCTCTCAAAAATAAATAAATGTAAAAAAAGTAAAATAAAATAAATAAAATGGCATAGCATTGTGTGTGCGCACATGTGTGAATGCCTGTATATATTCCACCTCTCATCCGCAGTCCCCATTCTGACTTTTCCTATATAAACTTCTCTGTGGCTTTAGACAGTGGTGTCCTTCTCTCGGCCTTCACTTATATGTCATTTATCTATCAGGAAAACCGGGTTGAGTGCGTGACCTCTAAACTCCCTTCACATTCGGAGAGTGGGAGGTTGAGTTGGCTAATTCCTGCATAGGGTCCAGGTGTGCAGGCAACGCCCCTGTGTTGGGTTGGTGCTGAGGGCCTACAGGCTGTGAGCCAGGGGTCCTTCCAGGGAGCAAATGCCGGGTTGGGTTAGGGAGTCAGGCAGGATCCCTTGTCTGCTCTGCCTTATTTGGGGTTATGCTTCCACCTCAGGGGGGGTCTTGACGCAGGCATGATGAGTCTCTAGGTTGTCCCTGTGTCAGAAAGGACCAGAGTGAGGAAAATCTAGCTTTTCCAGAAAAGCCAAGCCTTTGAGGACACCTGCTATAGCCTTACCAAAGCTGGGGTCACAGCTGGTCTACAAACTCCTCCTCTCTGCTGGGTCTCCTGCTTAGGACAATGGCCAAGTGAGCCCCAGGCCCAGGCCCAACCCAGCTTACTTTCCCAGGGTCCGGAGGCTCGAGGCAAAAATGCTTCGTGTTCTTTATGTCTTTGGTGGTTACCAACTTCAAGGCTTGTCTAAATCAAGCACATTGACATTTCTTAGATGTCAATTTAATGGAGGTCATTTGTAAAGTGTGGAGGCCCAGAATGAGGGAGATCTTATTTTCTTCCCTGCCAGGCACACAGAGGAGAGGCGACAGCGTCAAGAAAGATTGCAGGATGGAAGCCTCTTTGCTAAAGCCCCGTGGATATCTGGAGCAACTGTGTTACTTACTATTAGCAAGTCACTTAGCCTCTCTGGGCCTCGGTTTCTCCATCCATAAATTGAGCAGGTTGGACTGGATGGCTGCCAAGGTTCTTTGTGTGCATTTTGTTTTACAATTCTCTGACTCTCAGGAGGATAAACCCTGAGAGCATAAGCAACATATTTCAACAGAATGGATGCAAGGCTCTGAAAAAATGATGAAAATGTCAAAGATAATGGAAACCAACTTGATAATAAACTATGAAAGAAAAAAATGTCAAAGATGGAGGAAGATGACAGCAGATGAATGAGACTCTGTGGGGAGCAGGGAGTTGAAGAATTTGTCTATATGTCCTTGTCCTGAAATTGTTCACTTACTATGTACATGCAGGGAATTCAGGGGTGTCTATATTATGCTGCAAGAGGCTGAAGGTTCAAGGGCCCTGTGGGAGGGGCGCCTGAGTGGCTCAGCTGGTTAAACATCTGACTTCCATGCAGGTCATGATCTCATGGTTTGTGGGTTCGAGCCCTGCGTCGGGCTCTGTGCTGACAGCTCAGAGCCTGGAGACTGCTTCAGATTCTGTGTCTCCCTCTCTCTCTGCCCTTTTTCTGCTCACACTCTGTCCCTCTCTCTCAAAAATAAATAAATATTAAACAAAATAATTAAAAAAAATTTTTTTTTAATGTTTTTTAAAATTTATTTCTAGGGGAGAGAGAGAGAGAGAGAGAGACAGAGTGAGCAGGGGAGGGTCAGAGAGAGAGGGAGTCACAGACTCTGAAACAGGCTCCAGGCTCTGAGCTGGCAGTCAGCACAGAGCCCGACACGGGGCTCAAACCCACGAACCGCGAGATCGTGACCTAAGCGAAAGTCGGACGCTTAACCGACTAAGCCACCCAGGCGCCCCTAAACAAAATAATTTTTTTAAAAAAGGGTCATGCAGGAACTTCTCAAGGTGGGGAAAGAAGAGGGACGTCTGTCGGCCAGGGATGCCTGCCTGGGGAGGCCATCATGCAGCAGTCAACACAAGCTGTGGCTTCGAACAGGCATGTGCCGCCTAGTTCTCTTCCTGTATGTCTTTGAGCTAGTTACTTTAAACTGTACCTGCTTTAGTTTCCTAAACCAGAAAATGGGGATCATCACAGTGCCCCTGGTCTAGGGTTGCGGTAAGGATTAAATGAGATAAAGTGTGTAAAGTAGCTTGCACCGAGCCTAATCCCCAGTCAGCAGCCAATAACAGCAGTAGATACTATTTACGTTTTTACCTTCTTTCTATCTTGGATTCTAGTTTCCAAGTAAGTAGAAAACTCTAAGGTATTCTGCTTATATGAGGTAGTCTAGGCCTTTTAAAATTCATTTTGTGCAGCGCCTGGGTGGCTCAGTCGGTTATGCATCTGACTTTGGCTCTAGTCATGATCTCACGGTTCGTGGATTTGAGGTCCACGTCAGGCTCTGTGCTGACAGCTCAGAGCCTGGAGCCTGCTTCCGATTCTGTGTCTCCCTCTCTCTCTGCCCCTCCCCTGCTCACGCTCTGTCTCTCTCTTTCTCAAAAATAAATATAAACATTAAAAAAATAAAAACATATTAAATTAATTTTGCTTCAGGAGCAAGAAAAAAAGATCCCACAGACTCAGACCAAACTTGGGAATATTTTTTCAAAGCCTGGTTGGGGGACGCTAACTGCATTTCGGTCACCTGTGCGCCTCTTGGTACAGAGTCCTGGGCTTTCATTCTCATTGGAAACAGAACTCTGATTCTGGGTCTCTGGCGGGGGGAAGGGGGGCAGATACAAACATGTAAATGTGTTAGCCAAATCCATAGATAAAGGCTGAGAGCCAGGCTTTTAAAGAGCATACTGTCCTGCCACCCAACAGACTACACTGCTGCTTCTCGAACTTCAATGTGTAGAGGAATCTACTGGGAATCTTGTTAAAATGCAGATTCTATTTCAGTAGGTGTATTAGTCAGGGTTCTTTAGAGCAACAGAACTAACAGGAAATATGTGTGTATACACACACACACACACACACACATACATACATAGAGACTATATACAAAAAGTATACAGTATATATATAATATATTTAAACGTACATATGCGGAATAAAGATAAAGTTTTGGCTCATGCAATTATGGAGGCTGAGAAGCCTCATGGTCTGTCATATGCCAGCTGGAAACCCGAGAAAGCCAGTGGTGTAGATTCCAGTCTGAGTCTAAAGGCCAGAGACCCAGGAACTCCGACGTCAGGAGAAGATCAATGCTCCAGTTCAAACAGTCAGGTAGAGAGAGGATTCAACCATCCTCGGTCTTTTTGTTCTATTCACTCACTCCCTTGCCAGATTGCATGAAGTCCACCCACACTGGGGAGGGCAATCTGCTTCACTCAGCCCACCAATTCAAATAGGAATCTGTTCTGGAAGCACCCTCACAGACATCCCTGGAAATAGTGTTCAACCAGATATCTGGGCATCCTGTGGCCCACTCATATTGACACATAAAATTAACCATCACAGTAGGGCTGGAGTGGGGCCTGAAATTATGCATTTCTAATAAGCTCCTGGGGGACGTCCCTTCTGCTGGTCAGTGGACCACACGTTTTAAAACATCTTTTAAAATTAAAAAAAAAAATTAAATTTATTTCAATCCAAGCTAGTTAACATACAGTGTAATAATGGCTTCAGAAGTAGAATATCATTTACATACAACACCCAGTGCTTGGACAACACTTTTATGTATTTATTCATTTATTTTATTTATTTATTTTTTTGTTTTTAGGAGAGAGAGAGAGAGAGAGAGAGACAGCGTGAGCAGGGGAGGGTCAGAGAGAGAAGGAGTCACAGACTGAAACAGGCTCCAGGCTCTGAGCCGGCAGTCAGTACAGAGCCCCACGCGGGGCTCGAACCCACGAACCGCGAGATCATGACCTAAGCGAAAGTCGGACACTTAACCAACTAAGCCACCCAGGTGCCCCTGGACCACACTTTTAATAGCAAGATTTTTAGAGGCTCTGTATTTGTATTGGTCAAGAGTGGTCTTCATCAGACATTTCTGGCTCTGCTTTCTGGGCACACGGTAGGATTCTGCTTCCTGGTCCCCCTGTAGTTGGATGGGTCCAGATGGCTAGTTCTGGGCAATGAGAATGAAAGATTAGCATCACTCCCAGGGCAGAGTATTTAGTTGCCCATTTAAGACTCTCTAAAACTCTTTCCCTTTGCCACAGCAATGAGCAATGTTTTAGTTTATGTCTGCTCCATCAGGTGGCTCTTTGGGTGAGGGTGACATCGAGCCCAGCCCTTAGCTGACCTGTGAGGACATGTATTAAGAACAAGACATAAGTGTTTGTTGTTTTCAGTCATTGGGATTTAGAGAGGTGTTTGTTACTGCAGCATAACCTAGCCTATCCTGACTGATACACTAACCTAATCCCCGTTTTGCCAAAGAAGAAATAAAAGTCTAAGAGGAGTGATTTGTCTGTGCACTGACACCTGCCTAATGAAATCTTTTTTCTTTTTTCTTTTTAAAAATATTTTATTTATTTTTGAGAGACAGAGAGAGAGTGCAAGCAGGGGAGGGTCAGAGAGAGAGGGAGACACAGAACCTGAAGAGAAGCTCCAGACTCTGAGCTAGCTGTCAGCACAGAGCTCGATGCGGGGCTTGAACCCATGAACCGCGAGATCATGACCTAAGCCAAAGTCAGACGCTCAACTGACTGAGCCACACAGGCACCTTGGAAATCTTGTCTCTGACCTGATTCCCAATCTCCTCCTCTTTCCATCAACTACTAATGCCTCTACCACAGGGTACTGAGGTACCCCGTGTCTTCTCCCAGAATGCATGCCAGGCACTTCTTACATATCATTTTTGTTTCATCTTCGTAACAACTATTTAAGGTCACTGCATTATCATCCCATTCTTTATGTGAGGAAATGGAGGCCAGAGGCACAGCAAGTAGATAGGATTTGAACCTATGACCATCTGAGCCAAAGCACATATTCTTCCCATTACACCACCCTGCCTCAGATCTGCCAAAAAGGTTATTTTCATAATGATAAACACTTACATGGTTCTTACTTTATTTCAGGCAGTATTATCAATGATTAATTGTTTTTATATTTATAACAATCTTAGGAGGCAGATATTATCATCAAGAACATCCTCATTAATAGATAAGATACTGAGGCACAGAGAACTTAAGTACTTTGTCCAGGGTCCCACAACTAATAAATGGTGGGACCAGGATCTGAACCCAGGCAGCTGACTCCAGAGTCCATACTGATACCCACTACACTCTATTGCTGTGAGCAAAGCTCATGCATACACATATCTAATATGACTTGTATGTACACATGTGTTTATCATTTATATACATAATGTAACTATATTGTCATATGAGTTTTATTTGCTTATTGTAGATTGCAGAGTATTTTTTCCCCTACTAGTACGATTCTGCTACACAACTCTTCCGAGTTGATTTCTTCTCCTAACTGCAGGGGTTCTATACATCCAGCACAATGTGATTAATAATTCTTTTTTCAACCTTAAAAAAAAAAAAGAACTTTTCTTTTTAATCCTGGAAGAAATTAATTTATTTTTAACAAGACTGGAAGGAACCAGCTGCCAAGAAGCTCCAGGACTTCTGGGTCTCCTGCTCACCCTTCTCTTCTTTCTTTACACCTCTCAACCCTTTCTTTGTTTGAGGGGATGTTTCTGCTTCAGGCTTGACTGCCTCCTGCCCCCTGCCTGCCACTTCTGGTATTCATGCAGAAGTCATTCTCAAGCCCTGGACAAAAGCCATTGTCCGCTGGGCTCTGAGTCTCCTTGTCACATACTCTCTGTGTTTCCACATACCTCAGGCTACTTTGGGTCCTGGGTCTGTCCTGCCGGAAGATAAAGTCTCTGGGCTCAGCAGACCTTGACTCAGGACATAACAGTCGGGAGTGCGGGAGCCAGTGTGCCTAAACTTGGGGAAAGGATGGGGGACCCCTGGGAGAAAGGCTCTGTTTCTGTACTTCAGCACCCCGAGGTGCTACAACGCGCTTTTCTTTTCCTGAACTGAAGATCTGTCACATGCAACTGTTTCTTTGTAGGTCAAACTTTGCTT